CTGCTTTTTTACAGATACCTCAGATTCCCGTTGTGCCTACATGATCTGTTGTACTGTCTAAGCATGCATTCAAATTTCCTGTTTATGAAGAACATAGGTCTAAATTACAAATATATGCCTGTTTAAGTAAATAAAAAGAATATATTTACCATTGTTTTGTACTTGACCCAACGCAGCAATTATTGTGTCTAGATGAGGATGATCATCTGTTGTTTCCTGTAAGAAAGTCATTGGAAAAACTAAGAACTGATCTTTAGAGGACATTTTACATCACATTGCTATAGTATTCATACTCGTGAACTTTTCTGATTTTGTCAGGTTAAAAACATGCTCTAAGTAAATTTGATTTGGATTGTATGTGATAAACAAAGCATTTCATACTTTGGATTGGCAAAACAAAATAAATGGGTCTCTGCTTCAGCACACCTGAATTAAACAATAAAGTCATTAGCAGGACTTTGGAGAACATGTCTGCATTCTGAGGAGGTAAAGTGATTCAGGTGTGGAAGCAGACACAATCTAAAAGTTCTAAAACATAGAAAACGATAATTCAGGAAATCTTACCGGTATATAGAATAAGGTGGTTTGTTCAATGTAGGCATGCTATGACTTATAACTAGCATACTTTGGAAATAACTAAATACAGAACAACCCTGAAAAAAGGAAAACAAAACAACAACAGTAAAAAAAAACTGTTAAAGGCCAGAAAAAGTCAAAAATGGGGTTCACTTTCCAGCAGGAAAAAAAACATTTCCAAGCATATTCATCTAAGAAAGTATGGAAGCCCATTTCCGCCACAAACTCAAAAAAAGCAACAAAAAACAACTCAAATTTAACTTACTTTTTCTCATAATTCTGAGATTGTATGTCATTATTTTAATTTAGCTATCTCACTATTATGAGACAGCAGAGGTGGAAAGAGTACTAAAAAATTGTAATTGAGTAAAAGTATCTTTACTTTGCCTAAATTTTACTCAAAGTAAAATTACCCATCTCAAAATTGACTGAAGTAAAAGTACAAAATTACTTCATTTAAAATGTAATTTGAGTAAAAGTTACTTAGTTACTATGAGTTATTTAATGCAAAAAAGGATGAGTCATGAATCGAATTGACCACAAGGTGTTTTAATCAATTTCAGGGCATATTTCAGTGGACATCCACACTTGCAAAAGATCAGCTGGGCTAAAGAACATACTTCCTCATAGCACAAGGAAAGTCAGAACCTGTACCATAAAGTGCAAACTATTTTCAATCCTACTGTCCAACAGACAACACATAGATAGGAATAAAGAAATTTAAACTATGTTTTAAAGTTTTCAAAATGCACACAAAATTAAATGCCCAAAAGATACCAGAAATCAAACTAAAACGCAACAGGATCCCACTGTTATTAACAAGCTCCTCATTTAATGATTTTAACTGACACTTGTTTCACTTTAATAGTGATTTTTAACTGTCACTTATTTTTACATCAATTGTTTATATGTTTGAATTGTGTAAATAAAGTGCTATTAAAAGTCAAAAGTCTTCTTCTATTTTTTAATGGCGATTAAGTGTTGATTCCGTGACACAGGGGTTTAAATTTCCGGCCGTATTTAATTTTTTCATCATCAGTATTTTTTTTTTTTCTTTTTTTACTCAGTTACGTGAGGGGGTTTTAAATGTAACGAAGTAAAACTACTTAGGTTAAAATTTACTCGAGTAAAAGTAAAAATTACATATTTCAAAATCTACTCAGAAAATTACAAATTACTCATAAAAAGTACTCAATTACAGTAATTTGAGTAAATGTAATTCGTTACTTTCCACCCCTGTGAGACAGTGAGTCATACGTATGAGAAACCCGAGTCAAAATAATGACCTAGTATCTCATTATTATGAATTACTATGTAAGCATCATATCATTATGACTTAACAAGCTAAGAATTGTGAGATACTATCCCAGATAGTATCTCACAATTATGATATGGTATATCATAATAATGACACAGATAAATCATTAATATGACATAGTATCTAATAAGTTTAAAATATCATGATCATAATAATGAGATAGCAAAGTTGTTATGAGATAAGATCTCATTATAATTAGATTTTTATGGAATAGTTTCTAATAAGTGTTAAATGCTATCTCATAAAAATCAGATACTGTGATAGCATCTTATAACTATGACTTATAATCCTATAATGATAAAATAACCATGTCATTATGAGATTCAATATAATAATCATAAGATATCTAAGACATATTTATGAGATAGTATTTCTCATACATCATTATGATATAAAATATCATAATAATGAGATACTAAGACAGTATAACATACTTATGAATTACCTTTTTATAATAATACAGTAGCCATGTTATAATTATGAGATAGAGTCTCATAATTATCAGTTAGAAAGTTCATAAATATGAGATGCTGATATATCATTCATAATAATCAGATGCAAATTCTGTTTATGTTTTTTTTTTTTTTTTTTATCATAAATTGTCTTCAAAGGGAATGGCCCAGACTAAGTCCTGACATAAAACCCATTGAGACCTTTTGGCAATTTTGAATATTTCTACTTAGAAGCTCCCTCCATCCAGTCTTACTTAGCTTGAGCTAGTATTGAGTGAAGAATGGGCTAAAGCTTTAGTAAGTAAGGAAATTTGATTAAAAAAAAAATGCCTAAAATACTTGCAGTTGTAAGTAGCTCCTGCAATAAGAAGTTAATTAAATAGATGGAATACGAAGGATTCATATAATCTGATCTGATCATCTGATTTTTTTTTTTGCACATTGGTGGTTGCAATTTAACAATATGTGAAATTGTTCAGTGGGTTTAAATGCATTGTAAAACACTGTATTTTATTAAAAAGGAGAATGAAGAAGAAAAGCAAAATGTCTTTTCATTACCTCGAAGAGAAAGGCAAGCAGAGCTATACCTGCCATATCATGTTCTGCCTCCTCCAGAGAGACGTATGGCTCTTTAATGTGGACTATGTGCAACTGTGCAGAGAAGGAGGGGGGATATAGGAGAAAACATCATGTTAAAGAGCATCGTTAAACACATTTGCATAACAAAAAAGCTTAATAAACATAAATATGTTGTTAGAACCCTTTTTTTTGATTGATTTCTTGTATTACTGCTTGTTCATCAGTTACTAAAAGTGGCTTTGAGCTGAAAGAAGTCAACTAAATCCTGGGCTGAAAATAAATATGCACAAAAACTAAAACGTGTAAACTGCCAGTTGTTTGCAGATACATAAAAGTGATAACTTGCTCATAGCACCACTGATTGCAGGTACTACTTTGTAGTCTGGTGTCTGTGCAGTCCTCACCTCCATTTGTTGCCCTGAAAAGCCATATCAAAAACTGCCGCTGCTCATAACTCCTCCTTATCCACAAAAAATTACCAACTTAACAAAAAATATCCCATATAATTAGACCTGTCCTTAATAATCCTTTTATCCACCAGTCCACTTTTCTGAATGTGGCTCCCTTACCTCCATGGGAAACCGTTCTCCATCAATGGTGTGCTCTGATCCCGGTCTCCCATTCCCTCCCCAGTGGAAGTGAAACTGTGCAGCTCTGTAGTGACCCGGCAGAGCACCTCCTGTCAGTCGCACTGACTGAGGTAAAGCAAAGTGTGCTACAGGAGAAAAAGGACTCAGTGTTAAACTCAGCTGAAGAATTGCTCTTAAGGGGATGAGAGCAGATTTATTACCAGAGTGTCCTTTGTTCTCTACAGTAATGTTGATAAGGTCGGTGTGTCCCATGAAGCTGAAGGGAGGCAGGGCGCTGTTGAAATGCACTCTATTGGTCACAATGTTAATTGGCGACTGGCGTAAACCTCCACATCTGGGAAACAGAGCAGCCCAGTGGCTTGGGTCTGAAAAAGGCAGTTATCAAATCAAAGCTAGATCTGCTGAGAATGAACTCTAAATCCTCAGTCTTTTATTACTACTTCCAGATTCAAACTAATTTCATTAGATTTGATCACAAGACTTAATTTGGACATGTGTTGGCTGTTTTTTTTCCTGATATTTGTAGCTAATTAGATCCTGATAAATAAACTGGGTTGAACTGAATCGGACTGAACTAAAATTAATTACCCCCTGCTACTATATTTGTATGAATATTTTATCAGCATCGGTTTCAACTTACCTTTACACGTGTCATCACAGGTCTGGGTCTGGTAACACCACTCAGCTGAAAGTGGAACACATCAAAAAACTTAGACTGGCACATGACAAATAAAAGCTTTTATTTCAGTCTTGGAGAGGCGTCCTGAACAGATAAATTGTTTACTATAAGTAACTGAACTTTGAGTTTTCGGATTAAAAAAGCAACGAAACTTAAAGAATAATCAAAACTGAAAGGTCCATGAAGTTCTAGGGATGAGTGTTATAGATCCTCCTTATTCTTATCAAAGGCATGTTATGTTCTGCAAATAAGAAATTGCCTAAACGCCAAATATGAAATAGACAAGTGTATTGTGATTTTGCATACAGTGTATACAAAACAAAATTTGGTTTATACAGCTTTCAGACAGTAAATGAGCCGCAGCCTAGCAGTGAAAAGGAACATTTCCATTTCATAAAGTGCAGCAGTGATTAATTGTAAACATGGTGGGAGAAAAACATGGTGCAAAAGGCATTGATGTGGAAGTTCAGAGCAGTGCAAAAACAAACAAATATATATGGTGCAAAAATGCAGTAGAAAAACGTTTGGGTTGAGTTCTATTTGGTGTGATGGTATTAGTGTGATGCAATGTCTCGATTTGTGACTTGATTTAGAGTTTTTTCAAAACTTCAGCAGTCTGATGGCAGTAGGGAACCTGCAGTGAATGCTGTGAAGCCTCTTCCCAGAGGGCAGCAAGGAGAGAAGTCCATGGTGGGGGTGTGAGGGGTCACTGATGATGCTATGGGCTCGGGACATGCAGCGCTGCAATGAATGTCTTTAATGGAGGGGAGTGTTGCCCTATTGATCCTCTATCATGTTCTCACTACTCTTCTCACTTTCTTCCAGACAGACACACAGCAGCCTCCACACCACAGTAAGATGCTAGCAGGGAAAGCTTACATGGAGCGCCATGATCAAATGACTGGAATAGTGCACAGGAACATATGTGGAGAGTATGGGCTGGAAACCGCAAGGTCAAAGTGGTACCCCAAAGATGGTAGAGAATGACCGAGCCAAGATCCTATAGGACTTCCAGATACAGACGGACTGAATGGTAATGGCAAACCAATCGGATATTGTGGTGGTGGACAAAAAGCAGAGGAAAGCCATTGTGGTTTACATAGCAATGCCGTGTGACTGCAACATCAGGGAAAAAAAACATGAAAAACTGGAGAAATACCAGGGGCTCAAAGAAGAGCTGGAAAAAACCCTGGAAGGTCAAGACATCAGTGGTACCTGTGGTCATTCGGCCCTGCACTGCAAAAACGATCTAGAAATAAGTAAACATTTCCTAAATTAAGTGTATTCACTCTTAATTTGAGTAGGTAAATGAGATAGTTTGCCAATGGAATGAGTAATTTTACTCTTAAAATAAGATAATTAGATAATATGCACTCGAAATAAGAGAATGCAATTGTGTTTTCTTATTTTAAGTGTAAATTGTCTTGTTCCATTGGCCGAATGTCTCTTTTACCTCCTCAATTCAAGTACAAATGCACTTATTTTAAGAAAAAAATGACTTATCTAGATTTAGATTTTTTGCAGTAGTGGTTACAGCAAATCCCTGGAAATACATCAGACATCTTGGTCCAGATGAATGCAGTTCTAGGAACAGCAAAGATACTGCGCAGAACCCTAAAGCTCCCAGGCGTCTGGTAGAGGACCCAAGCTTGGAGCTTTCATGTTCTTTTAATGATATATATATATATATGTGTGTGTGTGTTTTTTTATTTAAATAAGTTGTATATAATGAAATATTATTGGATCCAACTGCAGAGTTCATCAGATTAATCCCTGTAGTTTATCCTCCAAATTAAAGCCAATAAATGCAAATATTTATGTTTGTTTCTCTTTGGTTTTTCATGATTCTCGTATGAAAACCAGTGTTTTCACGTTTCTTGTTCATTGAGATAATAGTCTGGTTTTACCTTTTGACAGAATTCCTGTGTCCTCACCATAGCTGGTTTAAAGGTCTTGTTTCGATGGGGAGTTGTAGACTTTATTTACAACAATGGAGTGGTTGTCAATTCACCGACTACATTCAGAGTAAATTGAATGTGTCCCTACATCAGGTGCTGATGAAGTCATTTAATGATGTGCTGTTGCTGTGTATTGCATCGCTGATGAGAAAAAAACTCCTCCCGTGCCTGACTTGGTGGTGGGAACAGAAGCTGCTGTACAGAATCATTTAGCTAATACAGGAGCACAGATTAACCCGGCTGCTTCCCATAATGCCGATCTTTGAAAGGGGACAACAGTTCTCACCAGGTGAGAACAATGCACAGGTGGAGGCTGGCTTTACTCCACCTGGCTCACACACCTGTTCTGGACTAAGGAGCAGAAAGCAAAGACGAGAACCACACATTAGTCTATGTGTGGTTTCCTTTGATTTAATGCACGTTTTAATTTTCTTTAATCTGAAACAAACTCTCAATGGGAAAGATTTTCACACCCAGAGGTTTTTACAAGCTGAACTACTGGAGACAACAATTTGTAAAATATAATATTCTATTGTCTTGTCTTCCTGAGGGAAAATAGAAGCTTAGACAAAATGCAGTATTAGTCACTACTACTATTTTTGTCCTCCTTGAACAAAGGTAAACATTTTCAAATTAAAAAATATTTTTTTTTACATGTGGAAGACATTATCATTTTTGGACAAACTGTCCTTTTTTTTGATAAATCATATTTGCTAAACCTTAAATTCAGTGTGAAAAAGTACCTACATTTGTTACTTTAGTAAAAGTATAGATACTGCAGTTTCAAAACATTCTGTTAAAAGTTAAAGTATCAACTTCCCCTCTTTACTCAAGTAAAAATGAAAAAGTATGTGCTCCAAAAACTACTTAAAGTATCAAAGTAAAAAGTAACCTTAAAAAAAAACAGCCAGATGCCACTTTATGAACTGAAAGCTAAATTTTCGACTATTTTGAAAATTTCTTTGAGATAGGACCAAGGATGAGGGAGGTCTTGTTGGTCTCCGTCTCCCGATACGCTCTCGCCTGTGTCCGACCTTTCAGACATTTCAACATCTTTTTCTGAATCCTACATCGTAGCATGGCATAGACAATTCACGTTTGCAGTTTGAAGTACACCTGCTTGCTTCTGATGATTTCCTTTAGCTAACCAATGAGTGTTTGCGTTATATAACTCATCCAATTACACTAGTTTTCACTAGATGTGGAGGGAGCCAATGATCTGCATTGGATGGCGCACATGACGTGAAATAAATATTTATAAATATTAAACCGAAGCCAAGAGTAACGAGTAACATTTTAAAAAGGTAAGGAATAGAAAGTGCAGATACTTGTGTGAAAATATAATGAGTAGAAGTCAAAAGTAGGAAGAAAATTAAATAATGGAGTAAAGTATAGATACGTAAAAAGTGTACTTAAGTACAGTAATGAAGTATTTGTACTTTGTTACTTGACACCTCTGCTTAAATTACACGAAAATCATTCTTAACAGCAGGATTTTTTTCACAAATGTAGAGGTTGTTTATCCCCTATTTTCTGAATAAATAAACATTTACTTATCCAGAAGGAACAACGATGAAAAATTCTGTTAAATTACTAATAATAGATTAATGTAATGTGTAATATTTTATTTCTTAATCCAATAGTTGACTAAATACTATTTAAGCATAAAACATTTAGGTACACGCTGTTTGTGCTTCTACTCTGTTTGTGGAACTTCAGATTAAATTTAAAAAAACTCTGATATTTATACATGGTTGATCTATTTTTGTCTTCTAATTTAATCTGTTTTATTCATTTATTCAGTTTCCATTTCTATGTGTACATGTGAATAAATTACACACTTTTGAAATAATATTCTGGGCATGAAAAAAAAAACCTTGGCCTAATATGTGCAATAGTATTTTGTGCAAATTATTATTATTTTTTTTATTTTATGTTTAAAATCCATGTCTTGGCCCCTCTTCTCATTTCAATAATCTCTAATTTACAATAGATTAAAAAAAAACATATTTTAAGGTCAGAAGTCACTTTTTTGGGGTTATACGAACATTCAGTTGTCATTGTGTGCAAAGTCAGTGTTACTTGTACTTAGGAAGCTATTTAAGAAGAAAGCATAATAGTAAACATCTTGTTTTAGATGTGAGGCTGTCTTACCTGTTGCCCAGGAGTGAAGGTAGAGAAAGGTCAGGAGGTAGAGAGAAGAACGCATCGTTGGGAGCAGTGCAAGCGAGAACTGAGGATCCCCACACCACCCACCGACTTGGAGCAGCGTGAGTGGGTGGGAGGGACAGTCATGGATCACAAAGGATGTTTGTGTGTGGGAACCAAAACATTTTAAGGACTTTGAGGACTGGAAATTACATATAAAGAAAAGGATACTGGCAAAGCTTGTGAGGATTTTTTATTTATGTTATTAACTTTATTATTTGATAAAAATTGTCCGTAACAGAACGTACAGACATACACAATGGTGCAAATACTCTTTGCACCAGTAGGACTAATTTTCAGCTCCGCAGTTTCACCCCTCAGACAGGCCCTCCTAAGATAATGATCTATTATCATTAAACTTAAGTCAACTACACTGCATTGTAAAGGCTTTTAAATCTATGGATCTTCTAAGATACTTCTAATACAATGCATGTTAGGGTTGCTTAATGCAGATTTATTCATACATTAGTGCAAATTCCCAACATTATTCTTCATAACATATCCTTTTCAACAATATCTGAATCAACATTCTGTTCAGATAAGTGTGCATAAACCTTCAAAGTGAAAAAAAATAACTGAAATTATTAATATTTCACACTAATCTTAAAAATGTTTGCATACTCAATGTGGAAAAAAAATATTTGAACTTAATTAAGATTTGTCAAGGGCTGAACATTCAGTTTTATTTAATTATTTTTCATTTCACGATTCGATTCACTATCTACTTTTAATGTAAAAAAATTTAACCAGTAACTTATATGGCTTGGGTATAGAAACTACGGGTTTGCTTCTGACACTAAGAGACATTTGAATAAAAATGGTCATAGTTCTGAGCATACAGAACTGCACCATACCCTTCATTAGACTCATTTAATATTTACTTAATCAGTAATCCCACCTGCCCACTCAGGCATTTTGTACTCATGGCTACTTGGTGCTGCTGTATAGTCCCTCTGACTATGTGGGGCTACAAGATAAATATTCTCATCCATGTGGCGTTGCATCATGTTATTATTTAAACTATATAACTGTAACAATCTTGATTCTGTTGTTTTTCTCTAAGTTTTCAGTTTCAAGTTTTTTCTTGTTTTCTAGCTTTATTGGTGTGTCTGGATTCATTTAAGTTTCTTAGGTTTTTCTTTGTCCTCTGTTGCCCCCTTGTGTTTTCTTTTCCCTTGGCTTCCTCGTCAGCTCTACTCACACCTGCTCCTTATCAGCTCGTTAGTCCTGCCTTTGTTCAGTCAGCCATGAATACACTCCCTCTGCAGTCCCTCTTTGCTGGTTCCTCGTCTTACTTCATCCTACCCTGGCTCCTCCTGTGTGTTTTCCCCTGATGTCTCCATGGTTCTGGTTTGTGTTTAATTCTTATGTTGGTATTTTTGGATTCCTGTTTTGATTTACATTTTTTAAGTTGGATTATTTTTTTTTTGGATTACTGTTTGGCTGCCTGTCATCCTTAATTAAACCTTCAAAGATCTCACCCCTGCCTCTCAGCTTCTGCTTTTGGGTCCTCACAAAAACCTTAAAACCAAACCTTGACAACAAAATTAAATTATGCACCAAAACATGCCCTGATTCGATATTGGTTTGCAGGCAGGGGTGGACTTCGGAAATTTGGGGCCCTAGGCAAAGACAGACAGGGGGCCCTCTAAAAAAAAGGCAACGGCAAAAGTGAATAACACATTCCTTCCTTTCATTGTAGACCAGCCGTGATCTGCTCATTTGTTCTCCATTTTTCATTTGGATGAAATAATAGCTGCATGTATCATGACAGCAGACAAGATAGAGGAGAGCAGAAGGCGGGGTTACCTATCTACTTGCTCTGGAGAGCAGAGTTCGCTGCTTTTATATATTGTCGCCAAAGTCTCCAGTAGCAGAAAAAAGTTGCTAGATTTGGCGCTAGGCGCTGTTTTGAAATAAAAGAACTAGAGGGGTCTGAAAAGTCAAATATAGCAACAAAAGTGCTAAGTTCCCAACACTGCTCTTCACACCGTTTGTTTTCAAATGGTTTGCTGCTGTCTGTTTGGACCTTTCTGAACATCTATAAAAAAAAAATGTGCACAAAAGGGAATAGTTGTATTAACCATACATGTAAACAGTTTTATGGGGCCCCCAGGAACCTGGGTTCCTAGGCAACTGCCTAATATTGCCTAATGATAAATCCCCCCGTTTGCAGGCAAAGTTCAGCATCTTGCCTTTCCCATTTTATTGATGTCTTTGCACCTTTCCAACCTCCATCTTGTCTTACTAAAAAATCTGCCAATTTTTTTACATTTTGCAGCGTCTGTTTCCATAGTAATGCTGCATGTTTGTCCCACCCACAGCTTTCAGTTTGACTCTTGAGCTCAGGGGTATTCGGTAACTTTCCAGGCTCATTGAAGGCTTGTTAAAACAGCTTTCCCAGTCATTTAATGGAATTAAATGCCTTCATGAATGCTTAGAACCACTGATGCTTTACTTACACAGGGTCACAATGGCTCCTTTGAAACTGAAAACCGTGATTTGTTTGAGGGGCCAAACCTTCCAAGAAATCTACTGTGGCCTTTGTTAAACTGTCAGGTTTGGGGGAGTAAAAATAAAGACCCAGAAAATTAATATATTTTAGGTTATATTTTATCTTCTAGTTTTAGATAAATATTATGTTAAAGCGATTCTAGTGAAAATATAAGAAAATTAAACAGGAGAAATAACAGAACAACAATTATTCTGTATGTTAGGACAGAATTAAATACATTGAATCAAATTCCAAAAATAAATCTGTTACGGGTCAAATATAAAAAAAATAAAACCCTGCTGAATAAGTAGGACATCTTAAACTCTTATACTATTTATTGAACAGCCAAATCAGTCCTATTGAAAACGTGCAATATCTACATTTTTCCAGGATGGAAAATAGCCCCACATGTACTCTGAGCTACTAGTAATAGTTTTTTTTAAATCCATTTTAAAGAAGTTAAATTTCCCAAACCCAACCACCCACCCATAAATCTAGAGATTTTGTAATTCTGTATTGAAAACTGCTTAGTAGTAGGTCCATCATTAGTCTTTGTTTCCATATACAAACACTCATAAATCTACCTTACTTCATTATTAATAACTGCATGAATATATATTTTTATAAATGCTTATAAAAATCTTGCAGATCTGTGCATCATTTAAAAGATCACTCAAAAAAATCAGTATTAATGTTTTTCCTTACCAGAACATATACTTAAAGAGTAATCAGTGCACTGTATCGTTAAATATTATTCTGTGATTAAACCACAGAGCTTAATTTTGTGTCATTACTTTTAGTTAAGACGCTCAAATCAAAGGTGCTCAGATAAAAGATGTCAAAACTATAGATGAGTCTTAATGCAGAGGGTTTAAAACATTTAGAGCATAGACATTATTTTTAAATTGTCATGGGTCATTGTCAGCAAACACAAATAAAAGCTACAATCATAAGCAGACTTCATGCTGGTCATAAAAGTATCATATCATAAAAAACTGATTTATTCTCTCCCCATTGACAAAAAGGATATGTATTAAGAATACGATTTACAAATGAAAGCTTTTAAAACATTTAGAAAAATGTAACCAAAAATGATTATTGAGCCAAAAAGGCCAGCAGGGTGGAGTTTGGTGACCTCTAGTGGTCAGAGTAATGAAGTGAAACTATCTATATATCCATATGTATGTATGTGTATGTGTGTGTATATGTGTATATATATATATATATATATATATATATATATATATATAGTTTTTCTTAGAATTTCAACACCTTTTCAAGCCGTTTGTAAAATATTTAATGACAAATTTCCAAATAACCAATTAAAGGCAATGGTTTATTTTTATTTTAAAGAATATTTCTTATTTAAATTTGTGATAATAAGAATAAAGTTTTCTCTTTTAAGGGAAATAACTCCAAAATTCAGACTTCTCAACTTTGAACAATCTTAAGGTTTGTTAATAAATTAATCTAAAATATTCTGTGTTTTTTTCCACAAATGTACAACTAATCAACATCACATAATTTCCAAATATTTTGGAAATTAATATAAATAAATTAATATTAATGATCAATTAGTTGTTTAGCTGAATTTGTTTCTCTTTCTTCTTCATTTGCACTATAATACTGGTTTATACTGGAGTTTAAATCAAGGTGTAGAGAACCATGGATATTTTGGTTCAGTATTCATCTCCAAGCCAGGGTGACATATTAAAAAAACAAAACAAACACAACTAGTTGGAAAGCTTAAATGTTTATGCAGGACAGACGCTGGTTGTTCAGCTGTGTGTTTCTTTTGTGACTCACTTTTACAGGGTTTCTTTACATTTTGCTTTCCTTGTATGAAATTGGAACAACAGCTTTGGCAAACTTCACAAAATGCTCAGTTATAAACCCTTCCGGTATTTGTGACTCAGTTTCCTTCTCTTTAACCTAATGTCGTTTATCTCCTGTGTGTTTAAAATCCTTTAACTGTTCTCTTTTAAGGGCATCGTGAGCAGCTTTGTCATGACTTGGGGCAGAGCACAGCTCTGACGGTGCAGCTCTGATTTCTTCTCATTTGGTGCATTTTTTGTACCTTTTTTTCCATATTTTATCCACTCATATGCAGAGCATTATTTTGATCCGTTGGATGGTGGGTCAGAAGTGTCCCAACACAAACCGCGGGCATCTGGTCACCCTCCTTCAAGCATCCATCCACATCAAGATCAAGAAGGTTTCACCAAAAGTAAACAAATGTTTTTCTACCACAAATTTAACTGAGATGATCGACAGACAAAAAAAAGAAAATGAAATGGGTGCATTAAAATGACCTCTAACAGAAATTCATTTTACATTTCTTCATGTCTAAACTTTCTAACTGCTGTTTTTTTCTTAGTCTCTCCAAATTAAAATTTACATTCTACCTTTTAAGTAAATATAATTGATTTACCTCTTTTTAGAGATTTAAACCTAAATATGTTTGAAATAAAAGAAAAGACACAAGTCGCAAAGAAAGTAGAAATATATTTTAATTA